AGATGCATGTAATTATAAAAACTATACGTATTCACTCCTTTTTCTTATAAAGTAAACATTACTGCTTAATGTACATATACTATATGCATGTCATACTCTCATTGGTCTTGAAGCATTACATACAATGCTCAATAATACATTTATTGTCCAAAACTATAGAAGTGGAAAATGGAATGAATAAGAAAGAGAGAAGTATGACTAGGTATTTTCAGTAGGTATTTATTTATAGCTGTACACATGAGTAACTACAAAATGCAATCATCTTTTCTCAAACTCTACACAAATTTTAAGAATAAAACTTATTTGTCAGAGTCAGATTGATCTAGCTAGTTTTAGTTTTGTGACCTTTCCCTTCTAGATTCTTATAAACTAGTGATACAATTGGTGTGAGAAAAGCACTCGAGATAACACTATCCACTAGAGTAATAAGAGGCTTTAGTTTTGTAATGTCACCTCCATCAGTCCAGGTCACAAGTGATGTAATAAGAATCCAAATGAAAACCATAATAAGTGGTCCCAAAATCACTATTGTTAGAACTGTATAAAATAGCAATAATATTTGCTTTATTTTATTAGTTACTTACTAAATTCCCAAATGGAAAAATATTTTGCTACAACAAAGAGTATTGCTAAAGGCACTGCTGCATAAATTACTAGTCCTTGAGCTGTGTAAATTAGTACCAGTAAATGCTAATAAAAGTGATTATACTTACTAGAATACGAGTCAAAAACTAAATATCCAACAGAAATAAGGACATATATTACTGCAACTAATACTGCATACATTACTAGCCCTTGAGCTGTGTAAATTAGTAACAGTAAATGCTGTAGCTATAAAAGTGATTATACTTACTAGAATACCACTTGAAAACTAAATATCCAACAGAAATAAGGATGAACATTACTACAAGCAGTACTGTATAAATTACTAGTCCTTGAGCTGCATGTGTAAATTCATAACATTAATGCTATAGCTGCCATTACTTATCCTTACTAGAATACCATTTGAAAACTAAATATCCAACAAGAAGGCTTATTACTCCAAGTAGTACCAGTCCAACAGCACACATTTTAAGTTTAGACCAGTTTTCTAATAAAACAATGTTTATAATATAATTAATTTATCACTTTCTTCTGTAGTAGGAGGAAGATGTGTATTGTTATAAGATGCATGCATTGCATGTTAATTATTACTGCTAGGAATATCATTCATATATTTACCGTAAGTTAGATGATTAGGTCTCTTTGCTGAAGGTTTAAGAGGCACGGATTTATCACTATCTTTTGTTCCTATATCATGAGCAGCAGTATGAGCTACAAATTTAGTTCATTTATCTATTTCTAACATTATAAGACTTACAAGTTCTATGCTTTAATTCATCAAAACCTAACACAAGACATTTAGGAGAGATTAAATATATAGTTATTGTAATATCTTAACCAAAAATTAGTATTGGTGAAATGACAGAAAATTTAAAAGATGATACCAAAAGCTAATGGACTGCAATTTTGTACTAACAGAGCAAAATTTAATGTATGTGGAATTTAATTTTGCTGGCAAATATTTTCACTACACAGCCAAGAATTATCATCTCTCATACAGGCCACTATACCCAAAATCAATGATTCAAGTCTGATGTCTATTTTGATACAGCCCTGACTGGCATCAATGTTGAATCATGTCTGTTGCTCTGGCTGAACCATGGCCGTACTCCAGCATGGTTGTATCATGGATGGTTATTATGATTGTATCATACTAGACTTATTGCTTTGCAGGCTGCCCAATATCCATGATGGAGGGATGTATCAAGGCTGATCCTGATTGATATCAGTCATGATTCAAAGTAAAATTCTTGTGTATATGGTACAGCCATATGATGGCTTCAATGGCTGAAGGTAGACTATAATGAAAGGAAAATGTCAGACAACAAAAGTACCTAATAAATTCTTGGCCAACATAGAGTATGATGAGATTAATTAATACATGATAAAACATAGTAGTTCTGAGCACTCATAAATTTTCCCAAGTATTTTACAATTAATATATAAAATTCACTCTAACATATCAACCTAATTACTCCAAAAATTAAAAATTTACATAAGGTCCAATTATATATGTATATGTATTGTCTATAATTAGTCCAATTAATACTACTATATCAATAGCACACAATAATTTTCCTTTACAATGTAGGCATAATTTTACCAGCATTGGAAGCTGAAGGATAGTCAGTTGCTTCTGTTTCACTTGATCCATTATTACTAGGACCAGTAGTAGTAGTATCAACTATAAAATATATTATACTATAAAATATATATTATTTGTTATTTTCTATTATTACAGAACTTACATGTTTCTTGTTTTAATTGTGCCCTTTCCTTGGAACCTATTATAATATATTTTTAACAACAAAACATACATAATAATAAAATATGCTGCTCATTTATGAACATGTGTATGGACTTGCATTACCTAAGTATAAAATGCTGTAAAAACAACACTTGCTGTTCAAAATGAAGTATAATTATTATGCACTGAGTTCTTTGCTCTATACATGTTGTAATTGCAAATCACTTTTAGCTTTACCTAATCTATAGACTAGGCCGGTCACAAAAATATTAAAGTTTAAGATTTTAGACAGCCTGTGTAAACAAAGCTTGTAGCAGGACTTGTAAGAGTTGAAAATACAATTCAAGCTAAGTAACTGGTAGTGTTAGCAATAAATTAAGCTTTTATCTCATTGGTCAAGTACAAATAAGCAGCCCTCTTTATGCCTACCCAAATACATAATATTCCCTTTAAAATCTAACCTGTGTGAGTGATGTCATTAGTCCCGTCACTTGTTTCAACCCAAAACTCTATAAAAAGTTAAAATAGTAAGTAGATGAATTTGAAATCAGGTTATCCAATCTTATTTAATTTATGCTTGTCTTAAATGCATGATAATTGATTTTTAAAGATATCTTTGGCATTATTTTTACAGGCATTTGTTATGTACATTAATTAGGTGGAGTCACAAGGTCATGAATTGAATTGGAGTATTATAAGCCTGTGGTCAGGAGGGCATATTGTTAGTATTTCCTTTGTATTGGGACAATTGAATTTTGACAGCATTATTTTTTACAACTCAATTTTTCTTTATATATAGTATTATTTTATGTTTTATTATTTTGTGATTATCGTTAATGTTATATCCAATTTATTACCTGCTTCAAGTTTTTTTGCAAGTTCATCATCTATTGCTCTCACAGCCCGGATTAGCCAGTCTACATTTGGTTTAACTTTTCCCTTTACATCATCCTTAAAGTTCCATTTTAGCCATTCACTAACAATACCATCAAGACAATCCCATCGTTTCCCTCTATTATCATCATCAATTTCCTCAATTTTATATTTAGGAATGCAAAACTCATTTCCAAGTAGTTTATATTTTGTGGCTATTGATTTCAATGAAGACATGATCCTCCCATGATCATCTATAACACACACAGTAGAAATTATGTATAATTGTTTTAGATACTTTATACTTTTTGTAAAAGTTGTCTTAACATTTGGATCTTGAGGGTTATCAATACTGTATTGGACTATAAGAAATGAATAGACTAGCTACAGAGACAGTCAGTTGTACTGTAACATACCTGAGGTAGACATTTTGGTTTAATGGAAACTCTATATTATGATCATCATAGTTGTGTTAGCAAGATTCAATGAAAGAGGAGACAGAAAATTAGAAGCAAAGTAAATTTTATTTACCTTTTTACTCTAACTTTTAAGAATGACCTTTTTTACCACACAGCTGAATGAACTAAAGCACAGTGAGCAGTCAAATTAGATTTATTAGATGCAAAAGTGTGTGCCTGGAGGGATGGGTTTGTGGTTTTACAAGTAATTTCCTAGCTGGTATAGATCTAGAGTGCATGTAAACAATTTTTTAGCACTGACTTAACGTAACCCATCATATATTACTCTGGTTGCACATTAACCCACAAAAATAGGTTAGACCAAATCATAGGTTAATTTAATCTTCATTTTTACAGTAATATATGTTGTTATGTTTTAGTATTTTCTGCAATGTATCATATATTCAGTGTTTGCAGAGGTACATACATACTGTTCTATGAATATGACACTATAAGTACTGCTCTATATGATATTA